CCAAATAGAAAGGCTGGTAGAGGTGGAAAGTGACCGGAAGCAAAACAGAGAGTCGCAGGAATTGCAGAGGTTGGAGACGGCTCTTAGAAGGGCAGAAAGCCGGCTCCATGGAATAAGGGAGCCGGCTCCCTCATCTTTTCTAGGTAAAGAGCCGGCTCCATGAAGTAATGGAGCCGGCCCAAGGCTCTAAAAGAGCCTGCTCTTTCCAAAAATTGAGCAGGCTCTCTTGGAATTTCATTTTTGATTTTTTTTTTTTTTACGAATTACCTGTTACTGTTGGAGGGTTGTGAGTTTGGGACTGAGTTGGAAGTAAACTGAGGTGTTTAACATGTCCCTTGGGTGTTCTTAATGGTTCTCCGTGCGTGGTTTATACAGGTAGACAAGTAGAATGCATAATACGGAATTAAACCTATTTGCATGCGATTAACGGATAGAAAAGATTAAAATTACCTAATTCTAAATTAGTGATTTAATTAGTATAGCATGAATTTAAAACTTGTTTTAAATACATATTAGGGTCTTCTAGTGAACAGAGTTGGTCCTATGCATGTTTCAGATTTTGGTTGTTAAACTACTCTGTTATAAATCTGTAGTTTGCATAGTTTTGAACGGAATGGTATTGTAGGATTTAATTGGGGTAATATACACACGGTTAAGCAATTAACTGGATTTTGGCTTGGAGTTGGATTATGGTTTTGGAGGTGGTTGTTGGAATATTAAACTTTACATGGATTAACGCTTGGTTTTACGTTGCTGAAATACTAAATACTATTCTGCAATAATATGGATGGTTGGTTTTGGACTATAAATTACGTGCTTATTATTTATGCCTTGTAATTTACCTGGAATTATGTATTGGACCATAATTGCTGAATTCTTATACTTAATTCGGTCAATTATTTGGAATCATATATTGGATTATAATTGCTGAATTCTTATATTAAATTTGGCCAATTATGTATTGGATTTTAATTGCTGAATTCTCACATTAAAATTCTGTCAATTATCTGGGTTTGGTTTTGCATTGTAAATTACTTGCTTATCATTTGAATGTTATAATTTACATGGATATGGAGGATTGTATGCACCGGTATGGGACGGTGGCATACTAGATATGGTTTAGCTCAAAATGCTAATTCCTACCTTATGGATTTTAATTGGTGAACAGCTTTACCTGTTCTATCAATTATATGAATTTTGTGGATTGTATGTACCGGTATGGAACGGTGACATACTAGGGACAGACTGATTCAAAATACTCAGTCCTACCTATTTTGGGAAGAAGGGTACGAATTATAAAAACATAATTCTCCTTATATTTAAGTCTGTGCAGTTGAATAAACTGAACGACTTACTGGATCTCTTATATAAGTTTGTGCAGCTGAATAAGCTGAACGATTTATTGGAGTTCCTATGGATGGATTTGAATAGACTTTAAATATATGGTTATGGTACCACGAGATGAGCTTGAGTCTCAGACTCGTTGGTTAGGACGCGTATATGCAGTGGATGCGTAGCTAGCTATAATAGGTTGAGGTGTACCCTGTTAGGTCTAGGTACTCATGCCCACCTTTGGGTGCGTTTTCGCATGTTGCCTTCTATTCAGGTTGAGACCCCTATTGTAGTTCAGTGAATGTCCCATAGTATGGATATATATATGTATGGACTAGATAGATATTGTGAAGTATCTACGGTGTATCTGCGTATCGGGTCACTGTATGGATTGCAGCTAGATTAGAACTTGCTCGTGGGCCTGACCCACTCTTCTATTATTCTTTACAGGTGTTCGTCAGTTCCAGGCTGCAGAGCTTAATCGTGCTGAGCAGATATAGTTGTTCACTCCACCGATGACATTGGAATATATTTTGTGTTTAGACTTGGGTTTTGTTTCCAGTCTTTTGAGTTCAGTGGGTTATTTCAGGGGTCCACTAGATGGATTCCCGAGTTGTATAAGTTGGAGAACGACATGTGTTCGTGGTGAATCAGTTGTAACTGAAATATCTTATTTATCAATGGAGTTATTTATTCTGAGGTTTTCAAATATTGGATTACTCTTTTAGTTTTCATTTCAGCAAATTTTATTTATCTCTTTTGATATAATTATTCTGTGTTCGATTATTGCTAATTGGTTTGATATCCTCGGGTAATCGGGCATGGGCCTGGCCAACCCGCATCCGGAAATCTGGAGGTATCACACATGCATAGCATAAACATAAATAATATATGTAAAACAACCTACTATATGATTTACATCCATCTTCCAACCTGTTTAAGCATGATAACTATCATTTAGCAACTTAATAGTCAATTAGCACAACCTTAACTCAAATACCACAACTTCCAACATGATTATTGTTAGCTTTTTCACCAAATCTCAATCCATGTGATTTTAATACAAACTTCGTGCAATTTAAACATACAACACTGTTCTCAAAGTTTTAGAACATGTTCGAGACTTTTAAAAATCAACTCGGGGATATTTAGTATGCTTTGGGGCAATTTAGGTCCCCAGTGCTCGAGCACCCCTTTACTGGGACCAACAGCGCTTGAGCCCTGTCCAACAGCGCTTGAGCCCTAGTTCCCGAACCAGCTCGATAGGTCCGTTTTAAGTCTGAAATCCATTGTTTCGAAAGAACATAGAATGATAATGCAAATGAAGAAAATCTTATTGAACATAGAGATTTAATGGAATAAAGATCATACAAATGAGAATCAAAATTAAGAAAATGTGAAAATAAGATGTTGGAGATATGTGATTGGAGTACTTTAATTGATAATTTTGTAGCTCAAAATGCAAAACGATCACATTTACTTTGATTTGAAGTTGAAGATACTTTTAATCTTTTGATGTAAACTAGATCGTGTTCTTTATAAAGCACCATGACCGGTTTTGTTTTGTGTGTTTTCAACATTAATATACTTTATGTACGTATCGTCTCATTTTAATAAAAAATCTGCACTCTTATAAATTTTTTACGCGTGTGAAACTTTAAGTATAAAAGGGCCTCATATTTGAACTTGAAACTTCTATAAGGAGATGATTATCATACATTGAGTGATCGTGAGAATTCATATTTCTTTTATTTGTTAACAAATATGCAAAATTGACTAGCCATGATTTCTGAGCATTGACCCATCTTGGAAATTCACGTTTATAACTAGTAGGAGTAATCGACGAGGAGGAGGAGGAGGAGCCAAATTCTTTCACTTTTGAAACTATAAGAGATATTGCTAGAACAAAAAAATAATAATAATAAGTTTATTAAAAAAAAAAAAAAATTGATTAATTAATTTTGATTTGATTCGATTAGTAAGGTCAGCAACTCTTTGCACACGAGGGAGGAGTTAAATATTATTGAACACAAAAAAAAAAAAAAAAAAAAAAAAAAAAAAAAAAAAAAAAAAAATTCCAACAATAACAACAACATAGCACTGTTATATACGTCTCTTACCATTAATTAAAATGGAGAAATCATGATGAAGGAACTCTCTTGAGAGTATTACTTTTATTCCTTGAATAACTATTATAGACTACTGTTATTTAGAAAGTTTCTTATTAAAAGAGTAATAAGCTAAATCACACAATCTTTCGAAATAAGTGAAGCTCTCATGCTCCACGCGCTTATTGACGCTTTGAAATCAAATTCTATCATAATTCGCGAATTCAATTTTATTAATCCACGAATTCAATTGTCAATTCACGAATTCATAATGATTTCTCATTTATTGTTTTATAGACAACTACACGTGATATTTATCCTGAAAGACCATTATTAGAATGTGCATAATTGTTTATTCTTTTATAATTCTTCACAGTAATCATTTCACGTATAAAAATTTAAACAATATCTCTTTTAAGTGTCTAGAAAAAATATATAGACGTCTATGTTTCATTTTGATAAAAATAAAAATATATATATATTAAATTTTTTATTTTAATTTTTACTAATATTATGTATATCATAATATAGAAGAAATAAGCTGAAACACATTTTTGTAATGCTCATGAAATTCCATTTTTCTTATTTTACAAAATATGCAATGGACTTTTAACATATGTATAAATATTTTATACACGCAATATTATACAAGTATATGAATACGCGTTGCAACTCTAATCAAAATTTTAATTTTATCGCTTTTGCACTCTCGTCCGTTTGATATAACTTAGGTAATAACTATTCACATTTAACTAATGGATTAAACTTTTTTTTCAAATTTTTTTTTTTTTTTTGGTTACTAGAGCACTGTGTATTGACCCCCCCACAACATATGCACCATTTAAGTTAAGAGTGTAATTTGAAGGCAAAACCTTAAAGACTTACTTTCCAGATCCCTGCCATTGCCGCTATACCCCTAGGGGCGATTAAAAGATGTATTAAATAATTCATTTAACTTTTCAAATATCTCAAAAAAAAAAAAAAAAAAAAAAAAAAAAAAATTATCTTTATCAATGATTAAATGTGTAGTATTCATTCATCTTGTTACGACAAAGCTTTATTGAGAACATTACTTCTTGATTAATTACCTCCCATGTAAGTTTTATTCAAATTTCTTTGATTAATTATTTCTTGAACAATTTTTCGTTAAATCTATGATCACCTAAATTTATTTATTTGTTTTTTATTTTATCATTTGATGTTGTCAAATTGAAAAGATGGAAGATTAAGCTGTCAAAGAAAAATAACCAAGAATATAGTAGACAAAGTAGTGTTCTGTCGTCAAAATTGGCTACTTTATATATATATATATATATATATATATATATATATCCACTACTTGATGTCCCTTAAAATATTTTTCAGCATATCCATTATATAGATTATCAACGGGGGCATTGGTCAACAACGAAATTATGGTGGACACCTTCAGATTATCCAATTGCCATGGTTATCTTCGGCCGTATTATTGATGTCCACGTATCACGTCCCGGACCAACTGATCGCTGACGTGGATTTATATTCAATCCGGACAAACAACTCGTTATAAAGTACTGCTTTTTATTCACCCTCTCTCTCCTTCCCTCTCTTTCTTTTCTCTCTCTAGGCTGTTCTTTACAGTGGTAAGTAGCTAGAAGCACCCCAAACTGATCAACTCCGTCTCCACCTGAATATCCGCCGCCGAAGGACACCCCAACTCGCCGATTCCGGTTGAAATTCCGGCAATTCTTATCGCCGGCGTTTCCAAAATGGGTTCGCCGGGAGAGGACGATGTCGTATTGGTCCAGAAAGGGAAGAAACAAGGTGAGCCTCACGTAATCACCGTCAATTGTACCGATAAGACCGGTCTTGGCTGCGATATCTGTCGAATTATTCTCGAGTTTGGACTCTACATTACCAAAGCAGGTATATTAGTTGGAAATCCTGAATTTCATGCTCTGCATTACCTGCTTTTTTCCTTTTTCTTTTTTCTTTTTTCTTTTTTGGTTCTTGTTTTTGTTGTCTCTTTTAGTTATCTAGTCTTTCATGTCATTAATTTGAAATATTGAGGTTTGGATTCTGAACCATTTCCTTACTCCTCATGATCTGTGTTCCAACTATCCCATATCCTAATTTAAGTATCAATTTTTTTATTATTTTTTATTTTTCTCATTTAGGGGGTTCTTGTTTTTGTCCTCTCTTAATTACCTAATCTTTCATAGTTTCAAGTCATTAATTTACAACATCGAGGTTTGGATTCTGAAGCATTTCTTTAATCATCATGATTTCCAAGAATTCCATATGCTAATTTAAGTTTCTTTTTTTCTTTTTTCTTTTTTCTTTTTTCCTCATTTGAATTTGGGTAGCATTTGGTGTATACAGTGTGCAATTACATGTTAGTATTCCATCTGCTAATTTAAGTTTCAAATTCTTTTTCTTTTTTTCTTTTTTTTTTTTTGTTTAATTATCTTTTTCATCATTTACTTTAAAAATATTCATCGAGTTTTCTTCCCAGGTTTTAAGATTCAAATGGTGGGTCGTTGTTAAATTCGCCAATATTCCTAAAAATATATTCTTCTAAACTACTTTCATTTTATCGGTCATTGAGTACTAGTGGAATTTGTTATCTTCCAACTTTAAAACATTAAATTATGCAAACATGGTTTCTGATTAATTCTGTGTTGGAATCCATTTCTTTATAGTAAAATTTTAACGTCTCTACCTTTAATTGATTTTGGGCATCCCTTGAAATTTGACGGTTTCATTGTCAACAATATGAAGTTTTTGATATGTTTGAAATTTACTTTAATGTGCATCAAGAATTCTAGTTTTGGAAATTTGGATTTTGTTTTGTTTAAGTGCATGCAATGTTTTGTTTTGATTTAGATGTTTGCACTGATGGGATATGGTGCTACATAGTATTATGGGTAGTTCCTCACTACGGCACACTTATTGTGAGGTGGTCAAATCTAAAAAATCGCCTTCTATCAGTATGTCCCTCTTCTTCGGTGTCATTTTACTTAAACCAGCCAGCTCCGCGACCCACATCTTCTCCAGTTTACTTGCTGACATTTTATCGCCTTGATCGAATAGGATTGTTGCATGGTAATCACAAGTGCCTTCATTTCCAGATCCTTTTTCCTTTTAGATAAAATTACACACACGCGTGCGTGCAGTGTTTTTAACCTTGTTGCTGAACACTTTGCAGATGTTACTCAAGTTCTCTGTGAGCTTGAGCTTACAATCCAAAGAGTAAAAGTGACGACGACACCAGATGACAGAGTCTTGGACCTCTTCTTTGTAACAGATAACTTGTGAGTCCTGTTCCCCATTAAATATTTGTGCAAATATATTCGATGCTGTTGACTAGATTTTATAAAGCGAGGCCTATATAGCATGCTGATCTGGTCAGAAACTCCTTTCTTTAGACCACTCAGTAGGTAGTCCCTTTCCAGCCAAAGTGATTGATTTCTTACATAGCCTTGATTAAATGGCAGAAAATTGCCTGTATGATGAAACAGTGATGCTAGGCTTCAGTCAGTTTGATGTATTTGGTTTCATTTGTTTCTTTTCTCAATCAGTCTGTCTTAAACTTTTTTAGTTAGCATCCTACCTAATTTCCTGTTTATATCATCTTTTCTTTTCTTTTCTTTTTTTCATTGATTAATCATATTTTCATTTGCTCGTTAATTCAATCCAAATTCACTCAGAATTCTAACATAAGGTTGGCATATGACTGAATAAAGCAGGACATCTGGTGTGACATTGTTCCAATTGATTGTTAATTGGACTAGAGTCACTAGAGGGACTCCTAGCACCAAAGTTGTATGGATGCTCTAGTTAATGCGACTATGTTGCTTCCTCTTACTGGTCATCATACCAATTAGTAGAGCGAGGGGAGCGGGAAAATTAGTGATCCTTATATGACACTAACGTCGATGCTCATGACCTCAATAGTTCAATCATGAGGTTACGGTCAAAGTATTTTTTTTCTCATTTCTAACAGAGCATAGAAGTACTTTGCTTGTGAAATTATTGTCTATTGATTATTAAATCTCCTTGGCAGTGGAACTATTTTCCGTGCACCATCCTTTATTCTTTTTGCTTATAGTCTACCGCAGTGACTCACACTTTTGTTCACTTACAAATCTATGTGGCAACCCAAAACTCTCATAGTTAAAAAATTTTAAAAATAATAATAAATGTTTAATCAGTATTTTACCAGTAGGTTGCAGGATTGACAATGATTCACTGGATTTAGTTTATTGTATCTTTAGCATTGCATGATATTATGGAAACAACTTTTATTTCTGTGGATGCACGACAATTGGAATCAGTCTGTTTTATCAATCTTCACTTTCTACTGGAATCTCAATTCAGGGAGCTCCTACACACAAAAAAGAGACAAGACGAGACATGTGAACAATTGCATTCTGTTCTAGGGGAATCATGCATTAGTTGCGAACTTCAGTTGGCAGGTCCACAGTATGATAGTCATCAGGGTGCCTCTTCTCTTCCTCCGGTTGTTGCTGAAGAACTATTTAGATGTGAACTATCAGACAAGGAAACTTGTTCGCAGGCTCTTAGCCCGGATCTTGTAAAATTGAAGGCGGCCAGTGTAACACCAGACAATAAATTGAGCCCAGCTCTTACATTGCTTCAGATACAATGTGTTGATCACAAGGGCCTCCTTTATGACATTATGCGAACATTGAAAGACTATAATCTTCAGGTACTGAATTTCTATCTTCCCTGTGGTTTTCTAGTAAATTGTAAGGTATGACCAGCAGCCTTGTTAGTAGAGTGTTGGGGTATTACATTTTTTTAGTTTGGTTAACATAAAGTGGATCGTAGCCGTCTTGTATCAGGACGTTCCTCCAACGATAGCTATTTAATCTGTGAAGTGATATGGTTGGGGTTTCTTACGCTAACCATTACGTATAATTTAGGATGATCCTCCAACCAAGATGTTACTGTCAAATGGATGCTTTGGATTGCATGATTGGAATATTGTTTAGATAATGCTTTGGATTGCATGATTGGAATATTGTTTAGATAGAACTTTGGATCATTTTATATTGCCTAAACTTTCTATTGCAAATCACATACTGTTATGATCAATCTACATCAAGCATTATGTTTTCTGATATATGTTCTTCTTGCTTCTCATTAGATAGCTTATGGTCGATTCACTCCAATTACCAAGGGTCATCGTGAATTAGACCTGTTTATCCGGCAAAAGGATGGTAAGAAGATTGTTGATCTTGAGAAACAAAGTGCATTATGTTCTCGCTTGAAAGTGGAAATGCTCCATCCATTACGTGTTGTCATTGTGAACCGTGGTCCAGATACTGAACTCCTGGTCTCTAATCCAGTGGAACTGTCTGGAAAGGGACGACCACGGGTTTTCTTTGATGTCACGCTTGCCCTAAAAACTCTTGGGATCTGCATTTTCTCGGTAAGAATGGTGAAATTCATTATGTTATAGTACTGATAACTCTATTGAAAGACAAATCCCATGGGGTCAAACCTACAATCACCAAATATGTGCACTAGTACTATATTCCTATCTATGAGGATCACATGTCTTCTAACTAGAAAAATATTAAGGTATTAGTGACTTGTTTACTCATGTCACTCTGCTGTGCAAACAGGTTTCTTGAATCACTTTCCAATTCTAAATTAAGAAGTTGAATTATAATTTATTGAACATTCTATTGGCTTATAGGCTGAGATCGGAAGGCATTCAACATCAGATCGTGAATGGGAGGTCTACAGATTCCTTTTAGATGAGAAGTGTAAATTTCAATTGTCAGATGTGGCTGTTAGAAACCAGATTGCAGACAGGGTTAGAAGAGCATTGATGGGCTGGTGAGTTGGTCCCTTTGGTTCAGTACTTATTTTCACCTTCACATGCCCCTCTCTTGCGTGCCCTGTTTTTTGGGCTCTAAATATTAATGACTTGTACATAGAGTGATTAACCTCCACCATGTTTAAATGTCAGTGGTTTGTATTCTTTAGTCATTTAAATAATACTAATTCTTTTAGCATATTTCCCCTTTCAAGTGTCAAACTTGTGTTTCCTGTATAGAAAGATGGAGACTTTGTTATTCTCTAGTACAAGTGAGGAGATAGTTTGGCTCTTGATTTTAGTTGGTTTGATGTAATATTGGTGGCTTCCAAATTGCTACCCCGCCAAACCATGTGTAACTGGTGTTTGTGTTAATTTTGTTCATTTTTTGCCTGGTTCTTAGTTTCACGCCTAAAATGCATTGTGATCTCTCTCTCTCTGATCTATGCTAAGTCGACCTCCAACCTCACACATTTTTTTCCAGTACCCCAGAAATCCTTTCGCCTTTAGAGCTATATCTTAGTGACCGGATGCTTTAATCAGCCGCTTAGAAGGCCAACGTTTCGTTGAACCACGAGAGAGTCTGTTTTTTCTTCCTTTGGACAGGACAGCAGAAGATAGTGGACCTCAACCAATGAAATTAGTGAGCGGGAAGGACTTCTTCCCTTCTTCCACCAACCGCTATGCTTTCGGAGGACTACATGTAAGCTCCGCCACAGGATAATCCGGATCCAGATCTTTTCGTTCCCGGACCTTATTATTGTGATTGTCTCTACACATTCAATCTCACATAATTCCGTAGAGCCCTTGGTACATAATTCCATCGTTCATGGTAAAATGCCCTAACTAAAGCTTCATGGTTCATGCTATGGAAGTTTGGGATATGATTTCATGCGTCCACCACGGGGAGGTCATTTCCCAATATTCATACTGAATCCATCTCTTTTTCTTAGTAGTAACTTGGAAGCAACCATGGAATGGACATGGATGTGGACTCAAGTTGGAACCCATCCACTTCTTGTGATTTATATATATATATCATATAGAGCGATACCTTGATCCGCTTTGGCCTCCTGAATTCTTATGTGGGAAAACAGTATTGCTTGATTTTGTAAATTTCAATACCGAGCATATTGCTCAGTTTTGTTTCTCGCTATACATGGAAGAATGAACAAATTTGACAGCAACTGTATGCCGAGTGCGCCTCCAGTTGTTTCTTCTTTATCCTTCAAACGCGAGGGAAAGTAGTTTTCATCATGATGAACAACAAAATGAAGTTAAAAGACAAGTAATTTATAAGTACCCGTGTAAAATATTTTGTGCCCCTTGTGTGAAAAGCAAATGTTTTAAAAGACAAGTACTAATTGCCAGCAGGTTAAACTTTGTTGCACCTAATGTTAAATATCAAACGCATGTAAGTCTGCTTTCGACCTCCGCGAAAAAGACCACAACGCACAAGATGCAGTATATTTTGTTTATACCTCTTCCTTTTAGCCAAAAATTAGATCTATGTCAAAAGATATATCCACAAATTCTTAAAATAACCGTGACTTATGTAGAGATGAGTTATGGCAAGATTTAAAAAAAAAAAGGCACATCACAAAAACACGATCCATGAATTTGATGTCACCGCTCAATTATCTTTCTTTGTTGAAGCCCCACCTGGAAATGCACAAAAACCTTTAATTCAAAGTCCTAACAAACAAATCATCTGATAAATGGTTAAATGTGCCCCTAATATATGCAACTCAAAGACCCATATTTACTGGACTATTGTCATTCACACCCCCTTTTCCCTTTTATCTAGTATCTTTGTTTTTGAAGTTCTTGCCATGAGCACAGAAGGCAGGCGACAAATTATAGGCTTTTAGCCATCTTTGGACCAGGTTTACCACCATTAAACTTCCAATCTACCAACCAATAACTTCTGGACAACAACCAACAGTTTCCTAGCTGTTTGAAACACTTGAGTATGAACTATGACAGAGCAATGAGCAATGAGCACGAGCATAAACTCCCATGAACAGGACTATGTTTCGGGGAAGGCAAATATCAGCATGCTGATTCATCCCGAAAATGCTTCTTGCTGTAAAAGAGAAGTCCATTATAAAATCATATAGTTGACAGCAATGGGCACCTTCATCATCTCCCGGATGACTCCTACTCCCTTGACAAAAACTTAACCATCCACACAAATTGCAAGATTAACAAAGCAAGGGGCAGAACATTCAGAGACAAAAAAAGAATCAAAGAAAGGAAGAACACATATAGAGACTACCTCAAATTTGATATCTTTTGAGGTTCAATGATGCCTGAAGCAATCCCAGCACTTCCAAATAGTAGGTAGTGAAACTCATTCAGCTTAAGTCTTCCACGCAGGCAATGCCCTTGTTTTGTTGGACTGAATAAAAGTGAAATTGTTCCCATTTTGAAGCCTCCATACGGATGAATAAAGGACTAAAGTTGCTAACAAAACCAAAGCTGGGTACAGAGTACATTCGATGGTCCATTAATCCATGATATATACCCAAATGAAAGGAACAATTAACAATAAAAGCCCAAGCCCCCGTAGATAGCTTCAAAGAGTTCCCTCTACAAAAACGTTTTTCCATGTTACTCTATAGAGTCGGATGTTGATAAAAATTAAACAATACAGCAGGATCGTTGCATCATCAAGCACATGCTGGCTATAGGTGTAAAGAGCCAACAAATAAGCATGTGAGGGGACTTCAATTAGTCTGCATAGCTTCTGAATGATACTTCTCCAAATCAGCATCAAGATCTTCTGCAGATATCTTCTCACCTCGACCTCTTCCCCGCCCGCGGCCCCTTCCAAATCCACGGCCTCCACCTCCACCTCCACCTCCACGGTCTCCACCTCCGCCTCCACCACCACGGTCTCCACCTCCGCCTCCACCACCACCACGAATCCTTCCCAGTGCACCACCCCTTCTTTGTCCGCTGTTCCATGACCATATGAAAAACACAAGAATCAGAAAAACTGTTTATTGTTTTATAGATAAATACTTGGCACTGTTTTTTTTAGCAGAGGAATATTATGATTTTTTTTTTAAAACCTTAAACATGAAAGAGGGAAAAAAGATAATTGACACAAGTATAGAGCACTAATATCGACATCAACACGGCCAAGGAACAAAGCATAGACTCATGCGTGCTCTGAAATCATGTACTCAAAACAATTCTGAAATAATGAAGCAAGATACAACATGTACTCATATATTTTGGCAAGGATATTTAAGATTGGGGATGGGACCCAAGATGCACATTTGTAAAGAATACAGAACAGCCAAGGCTGGGTTGATACTGGGGGTAGGGAGGTCCCATCCATTGGCATCCTTACCACTGTGTACTTCTTAATGTTTAAATATATCTGCAACATTCTAGTTTTCACTTGCTTTACTCTAAGACAAATGGTGAGTCGTACAGCACAATGATGCATAGCATACCCCGTGACTCAGGAGATCCTAATGCCTCGAGAAAGGATTATTTTGTCAATAACACTTTATACAACATTCCAGTATTCAGATGTTGCAACTCAACTAAACAGAGATTTATTGTTAAAAAATTTTATCCATGCCAAAATCATTGTTAATGAAATTGTGCTAGTATTAAATACTACAAATTATAACTTGCATTTCTCATCCTAATAAATCCTAGGGCTAAAATATGAATCCCAAAACCCAATAACAAACAAAGCTTTTTCCCAATTACTTGGAGCTACATGAATCCAATTATTCCATTCCGATCTATCTAAGCTCATAATCTTAGTTATCATATCCTTCCTTGCTAACTCAACCGATGTTAACTTCGGCCTTTCTCTTCCCCTAGTATTGCCCTCAATGTGGACCATGTCACTCTTCTTAATTGGCACACATAAAGGCCTTCTGTGCAGATGTCTTGCCCATAATAACTGATTTTCTCTCATTTTATCTCCCATGGGTGCTTTACTGTGCTGTATATCGAGTTAACTTCGGTCTTTCCCTTTCCCTAGTTAAGTGTCATGCCACATAAGTGTGATAATCCATGTTAACAGCGATAGTGAATTCAACAAAATTTGTGTTGTACTTTGAGTTCAACCTTTTTTTACTTGATCTATTAGAAGTATTTAATGGTTTCTTCAATGAAGTTCAAATCAATACCAGTCACGAGCTGCCAAGCCTTACTGGTGATGATGGGAAAATTAACAACTTAAGTATCTTGTCAATCGGAATGTGTTATCAAAAGACTGACAAATTTATCACAACTCACAAGTACAAAATGGTTTGGTGGGGTGGGGAGAGGCCAGCCGTGAATAAAGTAAAAGCATGATTCGGCATATTGGGTGGGTGACCAACAGGTGCTAGAGGAGAAAGCTTGAAAAAGAAATATTCTGTGGGACCTAAAAATTAAGACAATTAACACCACTACCAATTGCGGTCTTTGCTAATCAAGGGGGACACAAGGGACGCGCAAATTTAACCTTGGCAAAATCTACACAAAGTGGCTGGCCTCAAACTTGAACCTGCGTTCTCACATTCAGCCTCTTAAGCTTTTCACCACTGCACCAAGCAACAGCCCCAACTGTAAACATTTAAGATAGTTATCATAGTTTCACAAAATTTGTCCTCAAGTTCTCTAGCAATTGAGAACGTTTTCTAGGTTTTGATTTAGTTTAATACAGGGTAAATTGTAAGGAAATATAAGCCATCAACCCATCACTAATATCAATACCTAGTATAACATTTATAATTACACAATATGAAGTCATTTTTTAAACATATTCAAAACTAAATGGACAAAATAAGCATATACACATCCTAATTGAAAATTTGAGATACCTACAAAAGTAAAATTGTGAGAGAAAAGACGTTGCAATCAAAATAATCATATTGTATACCTTCTGGGAACTCCATTTAATCCCAAAATACCATCTCCAAGCATAGGCACAGAAGGAGTCACAACGTTTGTTCCCACAATCTCTATTTTCATTGGCTTTCCATCAAGCTGAACATTGTTGTACCTCTTGACAGCTGCCACAGCATCTTGCCGTCGTGAGAAGACAATTTCTGCCGTTCCCTAAAGAAAAGAAAATTTTTAAATCACAGCAGAACACAGAATTCACAGAACACAACTAATTATCCAGAAGACCATATTGAGCTAAACTTAATAATATACCTTGGATCTCCCACTCCTGTCATAATGTATTGAATAGCGTTTCAGGTCACCAACTTCTGAAAATAGTTCCTGCACCGCATTTAATCCATCTTAGAATACAGAAACATACACAAAATGAAAGTGAATGCAAAGGAAAGTACTACAACAGAAAATTATGAGTATCCCTTACAAAAGCAAAAAACAGCTTTTTTTTTTACAAGCAAAATTCCATTAAAGAGCACTCAAAGGGGAGCGCAGCCCAAGAACAAAGAGCAAGATAAACAAGGCCAGCAAATCAGCAATACAATCAACGTATCCACAAAATTCACTATATCCCCCATAGATTTACAATTCCATCCCTATACCCAAAAAATAAAGTATAAAGAATAAAGAACTTAAGCACCCATGTCGGAATCTCTACCCCATCAAAGCACCACCTATTCTGAACACGCCACAACCCCCACCATAAACAGAGGGGTGACACAAAATTTAGATAAGAAGTTATTGACCAAAAACAATTCTCTCAATAATTTGCCTAAACTACACTATATATCTATCAACTAGGTCTACATATGTCGGCATTCTCTGAAATTCTATTTCTTGTGGTTTCAAATGAGAATCACAAGAGAGATAACTCAAGAGGGAACAAAAGCATATTAAGAAAATCTAAGACAAACAAAATCAGTTCAGTTAGACATTATTCAATTTCTACTTCTGATGGGTTTGAATGAGAATCACAAGAGAGAGGACTCAAGAGGGAAATAATTTGCGCTTACATCTATTAACATTCTTTCAAACTCTACTTCTCATGGATTTTGAATGAGAACCACAAGAGAGATTACTCAAGAGGGGAAAAAAAAAAAAAAAAAAGAGCATATCAGAAAAACCATGAGACGCTTATTTAGTTCATGTAGTACTTGATATATTCTGTAGACATTCTTTCAAGAAAATACTGATCCCCATAAACCCAGTTCCTTTTTTCTTTTCAAAAATTCTATTCCGCCATTTCACAACATCCCTGATCAATCTCACTACAAGTGCTAACTCCAATCTTATACTGAAATGCTAGAATTTTGAAATTTACTACATCAAAATAACTCTCAATCTTTCTACTGCCAAACATCACATCTTGAAATAAGAACTGCCAAAATAAAGAAATATCTTGCAGCACTTCCCATTCCATACAGATGGAACCAACATCAGCACGTAAATCTTCCAACTTCCTAGCCATAATGATTCTGACGTCCACCATTGCACATAAAACACAACCAAGCAAGATGAACAACTGGTTATACACACAATCACTATACATTTTAAAATATAACACGATATGTCTAAATCTCAAATTCCAATAAAGCAAATAAAAAAAACATTTTAGACTATGCAACCTCATACTTCTTACGTAAGCATCACAAGAAGCTTAACCATCCACCTGAATCCCTACTTGATACAGCCAAAAACATCAAAACTATAATAAAAATGAATCCAGCAATCTTTAAACATATTTGCAAGTGGGAACAAACAGTTGTTCCCTACAAGTTATTCCAAAATGTATTCCATAGCCCAAACACATTAATACAAGAATCCCCAATTAAACAAGACAAATTTCAAAAGAAGATGATATTATATTATAATTTAGTGTCATCAGTAACAGATAGGACCAAGTCTAGAAAGCAAGTTCCTTAGACAACCCAGCATTTCAAAACGCCTCACAAAACCATGGAAAGTCATTAGCTTCTGCAACTAAATTCGATAAACCTTTTCTGTTAAACAATCAAAGTCAATTATTTATTTTCTAGACAAACAATAACCATGCTGTTACTTAAATTAAAACTAGCTACACATGCATACACCATTGGAATAAAATTAGGTACACAAAGTTCATGAATTGCATCTGATGAAATGCAAAAGAAGATCCAAATGACAAAACTTTCTACTGAAAATCGAAACCCAATATATATAGAGAGAGAGAGATATAAGAATTACCTTGATGTCCTCGTTAGATACACCATAATCCAAGTTTGATACGTATAGCTTCGTTCCAGTTTCAATAGAAGAGGCTCGACCGCTGACTTGTCCTCCCATTGCCTGATCCGAAGCAAACATGTCGTGCTGCCACGCCGATTCTGGAGCCTGAACCCAATAATTTTTCAAAGATTTGAAAGCAAAGACTTCATTAGCATTACGAACAATAATCAATCATATATCTATACACACACGTATTTTTTGCATTTATTATACAAAAAGTAACGGATAAATCGAACAAAGATAGTAGATCTAACCTTTGCCGTAGCGTAGGGAGTAGTTCGATTAGCACCACGGTTGGGGAAGCGGCGAGCTGGGCCAGGTCCGGATGCTCGACCTCGACCACGCCCTCCAGATTTCTTGTTGTTTTTGATGAGATCGTCAAGGGACATGTCCAAAGCAGCACCAGACATTTTGGGAGGGAAAATATCTAGGAAAGAGAAGACCGGCTGGAGAGATCTGATAAATTAGGGATTTTTTAGAGGAGAGAAAGAGAGGAGTCTAGGGTTTTGCTTATTAGAAGAAGGCTGGGGAAGGAAAGCTAGGGCTTCTACAGAAGATAGGAAACACTTTGACTGGAAATGGGAAAAAAAAAGTCCCAAAACGCGCACACGCTCGGGGAAGAGAAGGGAAGGAAAGAGTTGAAAAAGGAGAGAGACGACGAGAATCTCTGAAGCTTCGTTTGGATAGGTATGACGGAAAATGGGAAAGGGAAAGAAAATAAAATACTACTACTATACCACGTATAATAAATAGTTTACTCGATTTTGGATAAATTGAGGAAAAAATAATATAACAATAATGGCAATAACATGTATTTTAATTTGAAAAGATAGGGAAAAAAATAATTATTGAAAAGATAAATAAGAGAAATGGAACTATAAGTTATTCAATTTATCATTTGTACTTTGATTACAAAAAGATGAATGAAAAATTTTCTTGTGTGGTGGAGTTCCCTTACGGCCATAATTGACATAAATCATGTCGTGTAATGGAAAGTAGTGAGTAATGAATGTTTTATGAGAGGTATACACATTTTGAATTTTACTTCTAATAGTCGACATTAATTTTTTATATTTTAATACATATTATATTTTTTATATTTATGTTTCTTATTATATAGTAAACAAAATGAATTGACAATTAAAAGAAGGAAACAACTAACAATTACACCGGAGGTTTATCTCTTTATCTCTTATTTATTTTTTTTATTAATATTTTTTATTATATATATACACACGTATATATTATTTTATGCACTTTCTAAACTTCTCTAAGTCTTTGACTCTTTGTTGGGTATCTCTTACAATTTAACCATAATTAAAAAATATCAAATCAAAATATAATTATAAATTAAAGTTCTTATACACCTTAAAGAGATCATTCATTCATTGTAAAAAAATTACAATTTCTAATTTCAATTATACAAAGATTTATTAAGAATGATCTCCCGAACGAAGGTATATATTTGAAAAAACTAAAAATGAAGATTTATATATACTAGTAGAATTGAATTTAAGTTATTATGATAATAAAATTTGAAGTTTTCTTGTTGGTAACTTACAATACTTCGCTGCATCCAATACTTCGCTGCATCCAGAACTAAATTAAAATCAATCCTATACTATTTTTTTATGGAGACACCTTCTTTCACATGCTAACAGGACACTCTTCTTAGGATTTGGTAAGGTTACTTGCCTTGAACTTTGAATAAAATCATTGCATATTGAGGTAATATATATATTTTTTAAATAAAGCAAATTATTATTATTATTATTTTGAAGTCTAGTTTTATGTTGATTATGGTTCTTGTTATTTACATTTCAAGATAATTCATTATGTCTATAAGAAAATTTGAATCTAGGCATGAAAAAAAAAAAGAATAAGAATAAGAATAAGAATTGATTCAATCTTAAAAAAGTGATATTCATGAGTTTTTTTAAGAGCAATACACAAATAGAGCGTTTAGTTGAAGATTTGGTGAGTAAAACACATATGAATGCAAATTAAGAAAATCTCAATGAACATAAAGATTTAATAAATGAAGATCATATGAATGAAAATCAAAATGAAGAATGAAGATCGTTAAATGAAGAACGTACGTACGAATGAGAATGATAATGTTCCTTTGAACATTAAGGACATCGGAGGCAAGTATACTAGAATAATTGTTATTGTTAAAACTCTTGCTAAAATTAGTTTGGCATTCCGTGGGACAACAAGAAGTTTTATGAAGAAAATAATATAAACTTTTAAAGCATAAGTGAAATGATTGCCGAATTTGATCCAATAATGAAAGAGTATATTCGTCAAATTCAAGATAAAGAAATTCATTATCATTATCTTAGTCACAAAATTCAAAATGAATTTATTATTCGGATATCGAAAGAAATCAAACGTGTAATCATTAAAATAATTAAAGAAGCAAAATAATTTTCAGTTATTCTTGATTGTACTTCGGATGCAAGCAATGAAGAACAAATGTCACTTATATTAAGATGTGTGAATGTTTCAGCAAATGCAATAAATGTAGAAGAGTTTTTTTTTAGGATTTTTAAAGGTGGATGATACATCAACGCAAGGGCTTTTTGATGAACTTACAGATGCTTTGAAAGATATTGAACTTGATATGAGGACAAGGGTATGATGACAGTTCTAATATGAAAGGGAAACACAAATATGTACAAAAAAAATTACTAGAGAGAAATACTAAAACATTCTATACACCGTGTAATTGTCAGTCTTAACATTACACAGGCGCACAATTATTTATTGGTAGTGATAGATTTATAGTTATTAGTTAGTTGTCTTATGTAAACTGCACAGGCGCATAATTATTTATTGGTGGTGATAAAAATTTATACTTTTTAATTAATTATCTTAAGCACACTGCACATGCGCACAATTATATTAGCTATAGAATTTGAAAACATCGTGCGAAAATTCTGCACTCATATAATTTTTTTTGCGCGTGTGGAACTTAAGGACTTTACATTTGAAAGTTCGTACATGACCTTTAAAAAAAATTTGGAATCTCAAGACCGGCTCTTAAGTTACATCGAAAATGGCCAAAAAAAAAACCTAATATGCAGTAAAATCAAACTAAAAATAACTGTAGTTATGGCATAGATGAAACAAAAAGGCAAATAAAGGGAACTAATACTATGGCTGTTAGGAGAAATATTTGCGTAGATTGGGGCTTGTATAAAATGAGCATAAAGTTGTTAGAACAAATTTTAGTGAAATGGCGATTATCAAGGTTTAGAGGTAGACATGTCAACGAAGCTAATCCTGATTCGGATCCGATCCGATTAGTTGAATATGGATTGAACAAAAAATTCGATAATCCGATTACGATCCGAATTCGAAAATTTGTTAGCTTAACAAATCGGATATAGATTATGTTGATTCGATTTGATCCGATTAAAATTATATATATAAATAATTATTTATCGATAATTTTACATATATATATATCTATATATATATCAATACTCCTATTAAAATTGTATTAGAGGTAACCCAAAAATAAAAAAAAAAAATTCATAATGTTATATATACAATAGTGTGGTGTTCTCATCCACGTGTTAATAAAATTATATATATTAATTATTTATCATTATATTAATTTGGTTGCATAGTTATATTATGTAGCATTATGTATATTATCAATTCTCCGCTTCATCTAACTTTATAATTATATAAGTTAGTAAATATGATTTTAATCCAAATTCAAATTCGATTCGATCCAAGTTCGAGCTAAATAGGATATGGATTGGGACATTAGGTCCGAGAATCCGATAATTGGTTTGCTTAACAAATCGGATATGGATTTGATCGATCCGATCCGAATCCAATCCGTTGATAAGGTCTATTTAGAGGGGCACACTTACTTCTTGAAGGTAGTTGAAGCCATAAAGGATATATGAAAACAGAAAATAAATAATAGCATTATCTTCCAAATTTAACTCTAACTCAAATTTCAAATTTGTATGTTCGAAAATTATATTTCTCTTCTGTAAACCTATGTATTTTGTTATTACTCCGATTATTTGAAAATATAGAACTCACACTCTCACAACTCAATGATATGAAAAATACATTCTTAAATTCTCTTTCTCAAGCTTCTATCACACAATATTTATATTAGACACGACGGAACACTACATAAATACTTAATTTATACTGTACATAAATAACACACACATATACATATATATATTTCGACATAAATAACATATTAAAAATACAAGTTTTCTTAAAAACAAATAGAGAAGTGCTAAGTGCAGTCGCGCAAGCCACTGTCCAATCACAGTTGCAATTACGATTGGTTAGTTTTAAAAGCATTAATTATTTTAATTTTCTATTTTTATAGGACTCTATTAGCATTATTTTTTAGACAAAAATACCCTTTTAAATTATGTCTTTATTTTTATCTCCTCTTTTAATCGATTCGTATGGAGATATATGCGTATGTATGTATGTATATATATAAATAATAATAATAATAATAATAATAATAATTATTATTATTATTATAACTAATGTGCTGTGAATGGATGCTGAAAAAGGAAAAAAAAAAAAAAATTAGATAGGTTAATCCATTCACAAGAAAAAAAAAAAAAAAAAAAAAGATAGAAAAAAATCCAAAAAAAAAGGAAGAAAAAAGAACAAGATATAGATTCTGATATTTAAAAAAGATATATACAAAATTAGTTTTATATACGATATATTTCTTTTTTGGTGAATGAATTATTTCCTTTTCTTTTATTTCATTTTTTTTCTTCTTAAAATCCATTTATAGAAGGATAGTTGTAAAAATAAAAAATAAAAACAAAAAGAAACATATATATATATATAGGAAAAAACAAAAAAGAAGAAATATATAATCGATTTTTTTGATTTTTTACTTTCTTTTTATTCTTTTTGGATTTTTTTCTTTTTGCATCATTTTTCAGAATACATAGATAAGATAATTCATTCACAAGAGAAAAAAAATCCAAAAAGAATAAAAAGAAAGGTAAAAAAAAAAAAAATCAATTATATATTCATTTATTTATTTATTTATTTTTACTATATATATATATATATATATATATATATATGTTTCTTTTTGTTTTTATTTTTTATTTTTACAACTATCCTTCTACAAATGGATTTTAAGAAAAAAAATGAAATAAAAGAAAAGAAAATAATTCATTCACCAAAAAAGAAATATATACGTATATAAAACTAATTTTGTATATATCCTTTTTAAATCTAAGAATCTATCTTGCTCTTTTTTCTACTCCTTTTTTTTTTTTTTTTTTTTTGTCAAAAATCATTTCTTGTAAATGAATTATCCTATTTATTTATTTTTTTTCAGCATCAATTCACAACACATTAATTATTATTATTATATATATATATATTTCGATATGAATCGATTAAAAGAGAGGTAAGAAGAAAGACATAATTTAAAAGAATATTTTTGTCTAAAAAATAATGTTGACGAGAGTCCTATAAAAATTAAAAATTAAAGTAATTAATGCATTTAAAATTAACAATGAACAGTAGCTTCCTCAAATAATAATAATAATAATAATAAGAAATAATAAAAAATACATCAGCTGTCAAATTCTTTACATTTCAATTAACCTCCATACATCTCTTCAACATCATCATTAACATCAACAGATAGAAATATCAGGAAGAAGGAGAGAGAAGACGAAGATGGAAGAGGCAAAGGCATTAGAGCAGCAGCAGCAAATGTTGGTTCAACATCATCATCAACAACAACAGTTCCTACTCTTACAACAACACATCCAACAACACCACAAACAACAACAACAACAACAACAAGCAATCTCTCGTTTCCCTTCCAATATTGACGCTCATCTCCGACCTCAAGGACTTCTTCACCGTCCCATCATCAACCCGCAACAGCAACAGAATTCAAACCCTAACCCCAACCCTAATCCCAACCCCAACCCCAACCCCAACCCCAACCCCAACCCCAGCCCCAGCCCCAGCCCCAACCCCAACCTTATCCCTAATCAACAGCAACAACATAACCCTCCTAATTCAAATCCTCCTCATCCTCCTCAACATCAACAATTGCAGCAACAGAAGGTCAATCATCGACCCCCACCAAACCAGAACCAGAACCAGAACCAGAACCAGAACCAGAACCAGGCTGTGGAGCTCCAGATGGCTTACCAGGATGCCTGGCGAGTCTGTCATCCCGACTTCAAACGCCCTTTCTCTTCCCTCGAAGACGCTTGCGAGAGGTAATTTTCTTTCATTCTTTCTTGACAAGTATGTATTTTTAATCCATTAAGGTTTTCCACAATTCAATTTTGTCTGTACTGTGCATTGCATATTCTCCTTTTCGTTTCCTTATTTAGACACATCCACATACTAATATCGTTCATCATCACGTCCTTCTCGTAATTTCTTGCTGGTGCATTTTCTACAGCGACATCTCTCATCTAAAATATTGCATTTATGCACTCCACTTTGTTCTCATCAATTTCAAGGGATTCTCTATCCTCTCAAAATAATCTTTTATGCGCCACAATTATTCTTTTTCCTTGGATAAGTGACAGTTTGATTGGACTTTACTCTGGAATATTTTTATATAAACAAACATAGCTGACTATGTTTTTCAATAATTTATTTTCATATTAGTTTGTTACGTACTTGTGCAAGTTTAATGATTCATTGATTGACTTTGAGAAACTACAAAACAAGCAAACATGCTAAACCCATGTTTTAGATTTTTTTTTTTTTCCCCCTTATAAGTTGAAGTCTCTTATTAGCTTATTAGTTCAACAGAACAAGGAGGTTCTTGTGCTGAGTCTGCTGATGTCGTTGTCTCTCAAGGTCTCTAATTAGTTCAACAGAACAAGAAGGCTCTCAAGCTGAGTCTGCTGATGTGGTTATCACTCAATAGAACAAGGAGGTTATCGTGCTGAGTGTTCTGATGTGGTTGTCTCTCTAGGTCTTGATACTTGTTCTTATCTCGATTCAATGGGTTGCCTCCACAAGGATTGTCTTTTTGGGATGCGGTAAGGGCAAAAAATTGTGGCTACATGGGTAGAATGACACTGCAGTTGTTGCACCATGGTGAAAAGTTTCTACAATAAAGTTTATTGCAATCCTAATTTTTGCTTCTGCACATCAATGGAATTATCCATTGACTGGTAGTTGATTAAGGTAAAGGTTTGTCTACTGTATATTGCCACGCCATAGTGACATATGTCATCTGGGTGTTAAACTATGTCTGTCTTAGAGTTAGGCTGAGGTGTGTTCAGAACTTGAGGATAGGTTCAACGAACCTTGGACTTCAGCCATCTAGTCAAATACCTCGTAAGAGCCCATAGGCTATTGTTTGTAAAGATGCCCACAATCAAATATAAAGATTAGCCACCTACCATGCAATGGAAGCTTCTTAAGTCTTGTTTTTAATTCAGGTAGTGCACAACGTGCATTAGAGCTTTGATTTTCAAGCGAGGCTTATATGTAAAGAGTCCTTGCAATAACCTTCAAATGAGGTTTATTTAAGAAGAGGAAGTTTTTTGGGTTATTTTTAGATACACCAATAGAGAAGTGAATAAAGCTAATTTGTAGAGAGGAGATTCCCGTAATGTATTTGGCAACTTTGAGGGTTATTTGTAGGGAAGAGTGCTCTCAAATAAATGGCTTTTTGAAAGGTTGTAGCCAAACCCAATAAATGCACAAGAAGACCAAGGATTTTTTGTAGTGAAAGGGATTGCACGATTGGAGAAATGGGCGATCAAGCTTAGATGAATGTAATAAGCCTGTTTCAGATATTAGGCGATGAGTCGAGTTAGATAAGAAAGTCAACGATAGATGTTGTGTTTAGCTAGATGAGGCAAATGTTGTGTCTTGTAACTGACACTTGCCAAATTAAGATGTCACTTGGATGTCGTGCGTATCATGTCATCGACACTTGTCAACTATTCTTATTGAACTCAGGCATGAGTATCGGGTGTGGCTATGTGTCGAGGTCTCGGACCTCTCCGAATATTAAATCTTAGGATATGAGGAAATCTGTCAAAAAATTGGATATGGGTACGTAGATACGTTCTAGGCGTTGAAAATCATTATATGTTATTATATGATCTAATGTATGATGTAATTGTTCTTTAATGAAATACTCAATTAGAATTAAAATTAAACGAACTTTGGTGAAGAGAGGAGATTTCCATCCATCTCACAACTAGGAAACCTTTCTCAGTGATCAAATTTGAGTTTTTTATTGTTCTTTCAGTATAAATTTAGGTATGTGGTGGACACATTCCATACCCATATCTATGTTGTGTTACGTTGACGTGGGTACGTGACAAGGAGTAGGAGATTCCATGTAACATAGCCTGTCAAAATAAGATGTCGTTTCAGCGTCACGTGTACCTACAGTACCTAGCATTCACATGGCTACATAAATTGTAGGCTTCTATCAAGTCTTCGAAATGCTGCTGGATGTTGTGTGTATGGTATTTTATTTATACACCGTATTTGTTTCAATGAATTTATTGTTGCATGACAATGCATTTTTTTATTTTATTTTTTCTTTAGGTAAATACTCACAGACACACTCATGCACCCTCACAATTGGGCTTGAATCCTCACCACTCCTTTGAGGAGGAGAGGTTATTCCATTTGGACTAATGGCCTGGTAGTATGACAATGCATTTTCATTTCTTATTGTTCTTTTGGGAACATTAACTTTTTCTTATATGTTCTGAAATCCTGAAAAATCACTTGTCATCTTACCGTATGGTTTTCTTGGTTCAATTATCCAAAAGAAACAAGCAGCGGTTTGTTATTGGCCTATTTTATTAAAGCCATTCCAACTACGAAGAACTATAATTCAATGATAAAGACTTCAAGTATGAAGTTCAAATCTTGTTTTCCAGAATATATTTCGTCATGGATTTGATTTTGTAAAATGTACACATAGTTATATTGTCATGTTTCCAGATACATCTAAGGTTTTATAGTGAGAGTATTCATGAGTTGTACTTATGTAAATGTATTACTTTTGATTGTGGCAGCCTTTGAAGGTGTTTCTTCCCTCAAGGGGTGATAAATATCTATGAGGATTGAGGACATTAATAACAGTTGTTAAATTGATTTTATTTAGTGGTTGATATGTTAATTTATGAAATCAGAAGAGGCAGCAAAAAGAATAACTGTTGCAAATTATTTTAGTGTCATGGGATTGTAAATATGTCGTGACCTTTTTCCAAATATGGGATAGAAAGGCATATTTTTGAGCTTTTTATTTGTTTTATATATGTATATACATATATTTCTTGGTAGTAACTCATAGGTGAGGCAGACGAATTTTATGTCAGTGTGACAATTGTTATGGACCTTATCTTAAACCTACCTCTGTGAGCATAAATTACCTCAACCTTGCTCTGATCCTTGTACTGGGAGTCTGGGAGGGCCTAGAAAAATTGTTGGGACTGGGCCCCACTGGGTAAAAAGAAGAGGACTTCTGAGCTTAAATCTATAGAACATCAATAATCTTCAATCTATACATTGAAGAAATAGAATTAGATTTCCTAAAATATAGCATAAAAAGATAAAAAAAATAAAAATAAAAAAGGAAAAATACTAGAGATTTGGGTACCATTTGGGGGGCTTTTTTGGGACCCCAAAATGGGCTTATCGACCCAAGAAGTCCTTCCTCAAATAAAATGAATGTTTGGCGAGTTTCCTTAAATGGAAGTCCAACCATTTAAATGTCCGTTTCACGGAAGCTGTCAAACTTACTTCTGAGAGCGACTTCTGCAAAGTGAGATAGCACATCAAGTAATAAATATTTTATTAACAATTTAGGCTATCTATTATTTTGTATTATCCATATTAACTTTATATCTACATTTAAGGTTGTAATTTGTACCTCTCTCCACATTCTCTCTCAAAACTTAGCATTCAGTCTCTGTACCTTTTCTCCTATGATTTTATCATTATCATTTACATCATGATTGATTAAAATCCCAATCCTCAATACTCAGTTGACTGTAAAACCAAGGAACCCCTCCACAGCCCTTACAGATGAAAACAGATCAACTGCAAACTACACCGAAGTCAAACATCGGATTCACATCCCTATCATGGATAACTAGATCCTCGAAACACAAGTCCGCCAAGTGGCACACATATCAAAATTTTGACAACAATCAAAATCACAAAATGAGTCTCTCAAAACCGTACCAGCCAACACCAAGTTAAGTCAAAATTCCTCAATTTTCATCCATAAACAATCACTGGAACTACGATTCCTCAAAACTATACCTAGTCACAACTAGGATGAGACGACTCCACAAACTAATCAACCCCAATGAAAGAAAAATCCAGAGAGTTAGACTGTTGCACAATTTGCGAGGAGGGTAGTCGCTGAAGAACAGAGGCACCACCCTCTGCAATAGGGATACTACCAAACTTTTGCTCCTTGTGCTGTTGTGCCTTCTAAAGGTAAAATTCGTGATGTTTTGATGTAACAAAGTATCTAAATAAAATTACATAGAGAGCACTTGGACAAAATTCAGTGTGTTTAAAGAGAGATGAAAGGGGTTGGGATTTGGAGATTAGTATTGGTGTTAATAAGGGTGTTAGAATTTTACTTTAACCATAACTTAATAGCACTTGTTTCACTTAAATATTGTTGCTTCTGCTCTTGGTTCAAATAAGTTTTTCTACAAGTTCTTGAATCTTTGTTGCTTGTTGCATGTGCAAAGGGCACTAAATTTATTTTGGAATTATTTATTGGAGGAGCTATGGGTTTAATTGGTGCACTGAGTTCATTGTGTCATTTTGGATAGCTTTTACACTGTTTTGGAAAGTTTGCATAATTATTATTATTTTCGGAAGTTGACTTTGCATAATTATTAATCCTAATATTATAACATTTTTAAAGCTGCAGAATCTAGAAATTTCATTTTATTTTATTTTCAGAATTTGTATGGTCAGAAATACTTCAGGGAAGAATGGTTCTCACTGGCTGGTAGAATGTTTTGTAATAAGATCCTTAACATCCTAAGATGGGATCGTATTGCTTAACTTATGACTTGAATACATGGCACCTATTTCTCATATGAATCATTTCCACATGGAAAAGAAATATAAAATTCAAAACAGAAGATCTTACTACAATAAATTTTTCCAGGGACATTAATAGAATATGATTTGCTTCAATTCTAATTGATTTTTACTTCAAATTTTCTGCAGGCTACTGCCTTATCATGTGGTGGCAGACTATGAAGCAGAAGAGGATGATAGAATCCTTGATTCTGACACAACGGGCCAGATGCTGTCTCGCTCCCAGCAATGGGACCACAACATTGCTGCCAAAGTTGCAGAGTTCATGGTCACATTTGAGAAGCAGGCTCTTGCCTTCAATATAATTTCCCGCAAGCGTACTCTTGGTGAATTCCGGTCAGAGGAGAGGTTGATGATTGAGCAGGCTCTCCTACAAGAAGAGAGGAGAGCTCTGTTCGAAGTGAGGGCAGAAATGGAGTCAAGGGAGAAGGCTGGCAGAGAGGCTCATGAGGCTAAGTTGAGAATGGCAGCAGCGATGGTTCAGGCAGAGCAAGCTCGGGTGGGGTCACAGACTCATGCAGAGATGATGGCTCGAGCTCCAATTCGAGCGAGTGCACTTGGGTCTCAAGGCAATGATGTTCGGATTGGTGATGACATGGCTGAGCAGGATCAAGGAGTTAATAACGATGAAATGATTAATGGATGGGGAAACAATATGCAGAGAGATGAGAAAGAGCCATCTGAGGATTTCTTGAATGATGAGGAGACGGAAAATGGAGACACAGGCATGCAGAACGAGTGGCGTGAAGTGGGAGAGTTCGATTTGAATACAAGATAAATCTCAAAATGGTGTTTAGGAGAGCTCATGGTATGGACAATCAAAAAACTTTGGGCTGCAAGTTGATATGGGTGAAGTGGGTAGATAATCTTTAAAATGGATAGGAAAAATGTTGTCATTTCATGGATAGGACACTAATATAAATAGTGGCATGTCTACCAACCAAGTTGACACCTATATAGGTCTGTAAGTCTGTTGTCGAAACATGTTCATAAATCAAAACTTTGTTTATTTCAGAACGCTACTTGGGCTTTCCAATGAAAACTTTGATTTGCATTATTTTTTGTATTCACATTGCAGTACTTCTCTCTTGTTTAAGTAAAGCTCAGTTTTAACACGCGGTAGGAGAAAATGTAGTGGCAACTGCAAAGAATACTGTGTGTGTGTCACCATTCCCTAATATAGATTGGTGGTTACACTTGGACGATGACTCCATTTGCAAGTGCTCCCGTGAAATAAGTTGGGGTTAGACTGAATAGGACCAATATGGATTAGGCTCCCGTTTCTCTCACACAAAATCAAATACGGTAAAACTTTATCAATTTTTCTTTTCTTTTGTGATGATGGATATGATTCTTTCCCTCTTTTTTCTGAGGAGATCACAAGGTCAATCTAACTTTCCAATTACAGAAACAGAGTTAATTTCTTGTTGAGCTTCATAAAGGCGTGTGAATCAATGTTTAATACGGAGTAATAGTGATGGAACTAGTTCTTCTGTTTTGTGCTTTGTTTTTTTGTTTTTTTCACACTTAATTATCTAATATCAGTCTCTCTCATTCTTCTTCCCAGCGGTGGTCTGAAGAATCTGAACCAAAAAAACACCACCATGAAATTTCGAAGTAATACCATGACCTGTTTGCTTTGTTCGCGTACATGTTTGTAAACATATTTTTACAATTTACTGGTAGTGCAGGATAATAGTTCCCCTCATGTATTGCTTCAGAAAAAGATCATTTACCCTTTCTTGTGTGGCCAATAAAAAAGTTACATTGTGTTGCCATAATATTACCCATGTTAATATTTTGTTTCCCCAACTTCACTATTTCAGCTTTAAAATAAGAGAAACGAATTTCACTATTTCCTTCCTAATTAGATTATTTCAATCATGTGAAGCAACAAGAATGTTGGCTTTGAACTATCAAATACATTCCTCTGCTAGCATACAAACACTGAAGCATTCTTCAACACTTCAATTTCATTGCCGCAAAAGATTTTGCCACATCTATCGCTTCCTTTATCCGTGATATATCAGTTCCCTGAAATAAAAGAAAGGAAAAAAAAATTATCAACTAACTAAAGGATGTAAGATGCAACCGCACTAAAAAATGAAGGAACTTTTATCGAGCAACTCCAATGGGCTGCTATTTGGACTGCTATTTTCAAAATATAGCATGTGGGTTTAAAATGGGCTCTCCAATGGCATGCCAAATGGGCTGCCAAATCTGCTATTGCTCTCTTCCTTCTCTCTTCTCCCTCGCATGGGCTGCCAATTTGGTGTTGTGCTTGTGTATATATATATGTCAGTTGTACTTGTATATATATATGTGTGTATATATATATATATGTCAGTTGTACTTGTATATATATATATGTGTGTATATATATATATATATATCAGTGTTGTGTGTATATATATGTATATGTCTGTTGTGTGTGTATATATATATGTCCGTTGTGCTTGTGTGTGTGTGTATATATATATATATGTCGGTGTTTTTATTTATTTATTTTTAATAAGGCAAATAAGCTAAATAAAATACAACCACTCACAAAAAATAAAATAATAGTAAAAAAATAAAAAAATAAAATAAAATATTGGTTGTTGAAAATTGTAGTTGGGAATGGTAGTTGAAAAATAATAGTTGTTGTGTCAAAAAATAGCATTTTGGATGAAATGCACCATTGGAGCAAAATTGCTAAAATTTAGCATTTTAACAATGTAGTTCCTCTCAAAATATAGATTTGGAATGCAAAAATGGCATTTTGCATTGGAGATGGTCTTAACCTCTGTTAATAATCCAAAACATTAATGAGACTCGAAGGAACCCTAGTCATAATGCACGAATTGAGAGGGGGAGGGAGGGAGACAAGGGGTGGCGTGGGGGTGGGGGTGGGGGTGGGATGGAACTTGTAGCTTCTAATGATAAATATTAGAGGTAAGTATATATATATATCTACTCTTAATCTAATACTAAATCTTACAAGCTAATGTAACGGCTCTTATTAGGTTTTAAATCAACTAAATTAAACTTTTTAAGTGGATTATTTTTATTCTTGTTTTAGGATATAAACCAGATTCAATTGTAAAGCAAATTAGGAATCCACACAATTTAGTTTCAATCTTGTTGACTATCTAAATTGACTAGAGATTTCAATGTACTTTTAGATTTTTGTAATATGAACATCTAATTTGTCAAGTGAATTAATTAGGTGTTTGCAACGAAGTTTCAACAATGTTGATTATTCAAATTGATTTGAGATTTATTGCATTCTAGTTTTCGATTTGTACAATCCATCACAAGACAAAATTATATTTATTATACTTTTAAACTTCGATGCTTGCTTACGATTATGTATCAATTAAATTGTTAAAGATTTGATGGCAAGTAAGCAACTTTTGCTACACACATATTGCGTGTGTATATATATACCTAATTACCACCTCCCTAGGTCTATTATTCGCATGCGAATTCATAACTAGGTTCTGTTTGCGTCATTCTCAGATTCTTGGGACCAACTCTAATCAAACTTTTAGGACGGCAAGTGATTTTGGGGCCTTAAGATTAAGATGGTTTATATTAGTTAGCCCTTAATTAATCCTTGAATGATCTTTGCAATTGAGTGAAAATACTCGAGATTTTATCAAGGAAGATTGCAAGTTGATTGACCGAACTGAGACCTGGATCGATTGAACATTTTGGTGGATTGTAACAAATTTTACCAGCCACTTGCTCTAAAAATAGGTTCATAGAGAATATAGTAAAGCATAAAAAATGGTAATATCCAAAAATGCCTTGGATCAGTAATCACAAGGAGATTGCTAACCTGGCCTTGAGCAAGACCGCCTTTTCCTCCCCCGCCCTTTCCTTTTAGAGGCTTTAAAGCTTCCACCAACCACTCTAACACTTTTAAATGCTTGCACTTGTCTCCTTTCTCTGGTACCCCAGCACAAACAAGAGCCTTCTGTGCAGTTTCATCTGTGCTGAAAACCATAACTGCCATCCCCTGTCCATCCACCGAGCATACAGTGAGGGGATAACTCAGAGACATAAGAATCACATTAGAAAGAATGTAGCACCAAGTTAGTCAACTGGGAAGCTAAAAGCAGCTAACAACCTTCTGCTCCATTACTCTAACAACTGCTTCGCGGATTGCAGCAGTGTCTGAACCAACATCCACATGTGAGATGCAGAAGGCATTTCCATTAGAAGCAGCAGATTCGGCCATCTGAATTGCAAGCTTGACAGATTTCTGTATATTCTCTTCCGCAATCTTCTTTTTCGCTTTTATCACCTGATTCTGATGAAATAAACAAACTTACTATCATTAGTACCCATAGGAAGAACTCCAGAAGAGTATTCATAAGTCAGAGATGACATATTTTCCTGATCTGCATAAGTACAATACCTGAAGCACAGAAATTTTGGCCTTCAGATCAGCTTTCTTGGCTGCAGGAATAGGAGCTGATTCCACGCGACCATTTAAAGAAGTTACTTTCTGGAGAAAGAGTGGAAATTTAGCTGACCGAAGAACATACCGGAGCATAAAAACTTTCAAATTTAACAAATGACAATCCCTTCAAATAAACAATTAAGTTCTGTTTCGAATTCAAGGAAACAAAATTCCTAGCAACAATTGTTGACAATTAACATAACCAACCTGTTTACAGAACAAAGATTCTAATTTTTTTATTATAGCAATTCCATAAGAGAAGTGGCTACACTAGCTTATGCATCGTGTCGCTCAAGGTAAACGCCCTAAAATTTACTCATTTATGCTTAGGATTCATGTTTGTATTAAACCTGACGAAAGGTTTACGATGCCTGTAAGGCTACCTAACGCAACCCTCCCCCATCCTTTTCTCATGCTTGGGACCAGTTTTGTAAAGGTAAGGTAGTAAACATGACACAGGCGGTTGAATGAAAAGATGAGTGGGTACATTGTGGAAAGTATAAAGACTGGCACCGAGAAGAAGGAATACTGCTGACTGGGTAAAGTAGATGTGCAAAAACAGACAATGAAAGCACTGTTTATAAAATATTGGAGCTAGTAGAAAATGCAATAGAAAAAGACACAGTAGGCTGACTCCAGAAAAGGAAAATTAATAAAGAATATATCTCCTAAACAGATCCAGTTTTGAAACACGCGATTTAGTTTTCTAAATAAGAAATTACAAAAAGTGATATTGATTAACAAAATGTTATAAAATCAGAACCAACCTGTTCCAGCAATCTTCCTTCTGCCTCGGATGCCTTGTTTATTTCCTGCTCAAGAGAGAGTGAAAATTCCATGGCCTTAAAAGCACAATCTGTTGTAACAGCAGTTACTCTACGGATTCCCTTAGCAATTCCCTCCTCAGATAGAAGAGCAAATGCCTTGGCCTCTCGTGTATTTGATATGTGAGTTCCTAAACAGATCCACAACTTCAGCTTCAATTTATATTTACGGGAAAAGGTCCAATAAGAGGGGTAAGAAGATATAAACCTCCACAAAGTTCTGCAGAAATTGAAAGCCACTCTTCATTTTCTGGATCAGCCAAGAGATCCTCCACTTTTCGACCAACTGCAACAATCCTGACTGGGTCAGGATAGACCTACAACAAAAACAGAAAAAAATAAATATATTGAAGAAAGCTTGTAACCGAGCACAGTTCTGCTATTTGCTGTGTCTAAACTCATAATCAACTCCAAAATATAATGATGACATAACTGAAGCAGCTTACTTCTCCAAAAACAGCTCGTAAACCATTTATATGCTTAGCATCAGCCAGCGTTGCCTCCTTCACAAATACATCCAGTTCAGCTTTGATTTGATCATTAACGATGGACTCAATTTTTCTCAATTCATCAGGTTTGACGGGCTTGCCTGCTCAAAATTCAGAAGAATTCAGAATTGATTTTGGCCAAAACACTAGTCTAACTATATACATCCTTACCGTGAGAGAAATCAAATCTCAATTTTTCAGGAAGAACTATGGATCCCTTCTGATCAACGTGATTACCAAGTACTTCCTGCACTCATTTCAAGAGTATTTAGAGACCCAATCCACAAATGAATCA